CATTGCATGTTGATAAAAGCGTTGTAAAAACATCTCCTCTCCCTCTACCAGTACTCCCGGTTTGGATTTTCGCTCCCGTGAAGAGTGGGTCTATGACCACAGCCAGTCGCTTGCTCCGTACTGGTATGATGGGCGGTTTGGAGTTGTTTGTTTAAAGAAAATTGCTAGCCGGTTGTCCGTTGCAACTCTCATCGCGATGCCTTTTTGTATAGTGCCATATGCGTACCTTGGCTTATTGGTAGTGAGCCGCGTCGATACTCCTCAGATTTAACATACGCCAAAACGATCCCAGAATATATATCGTCTATCACAATGTGACCAATTTGATTACTCTTCCTTTGACCGGAGGACACCCAAGCGACATTATGGATGTTACAACATAACAGACGACTATTGGACCAATCAGCCCCTTTTCCTCAGCTTAGCGTTAAACTTGCCAAGCACAATTTTTATATAGTGGCGGAAAGGATAAATGTATATATGTCAAGGCAAATTAAAAAGTGGACCAAAATTATTATTAGCTTAAGCATATATTTTGTTGAGACATCCTAATGTGGGTGAGTGTTGCACACGAGCACCGAGTAAGGCCAAGATTCAAACCCTCATCCGAGTAACATCCCCAAAAAAAAAATATTTTTTTTCTAATAGCGGTCGCACCTTGGCAGACAATCGGAAACCTTCTAATGATAAGAAACGGCTCCTTATAAAAACATCTGCCATTCGGAGGGGGTGAGGACTTCCAAGCGCTTAGCAAAATATATGATGTGCCAATTAAATTTCATCCTAATGTGCGGCATCCTAAATTTGTAAGTACATACATATGTAAGTGTGTACGAATATTGCATATATACTTGCTTGTCTTTAAATATAAGTTGTATGTTTTACTGCATCTATGTAATTGTATCAATTGCAAGCAATCGGCGCGTTCATTATCTCCCAACGCCCGTTCGACCAGTTAAGGTAGGGGGGGAGGCAGAGATGGGGCGTAGATAAACTGAAGCGCGCTTCGCTCCAGTCATCAGTCGGACGCTTTGAGTAATTAAAGCCGCTCTTTTGGCTGCGATCTCAAAGTGCCTACAATCACACATGCAATATTCACACACGCAAAAAGGCAGCTCCTCACTTGTTTGTATGCAAAGTAGGGGCAAATTTATGCAAGTCCATATCTTATGACAGAAATGATGAAAATGGAATCATTGCGTGCCACGAACAAATTCACATTTCCCGCATTATGTATGATAAGTAAGTATAATATTTGCGTGTTTCGGTTGTGAATTTTTTAATGAAGAATAGTTCTTGGAAGCAGTCTGCATGCATCTCAAATAGACTTGCACACATATGCTCGTACAAAAAATATAAGTTGCACTTTATTTACATACTTTCGTGAAGACACATAAAACATACATATCTGTGGACATTTGAAAGAACAACTTAAGTCTATCTGCCAGAGACAAAAAAAGAAAAATAGCAGAAGTCGACAAACCTTGTTTCACCGTCAATGAAACAAATTTTGTACATACAGTATATTTTGCTTTGCTGCCTTTATGCTTAAGTGCACATTTAAGATACCTACCCTTAAATGCGCATTAGCGGCATTATTTTTAACATTTATAAGGAAACTCCTCCGATAGGTGCATTCAACATACCTGCACATTGGCGATACCTGCCTTAAAAATTGTGCAACTATTATTAACTATCAAAGAAAGTATTAGGTTTACCTGCACTGGCGCTACAATTACCTAATTTTACAAGCTTTTATTTATTTTGCTCATCTCGCAGAACAACGAAAATGGCTATCAATTAATGTAGTTATATAGATAATTAGATACCATTCGGTAAAAATTTCGCTCGCAGTAATTTCTACGTGGTAAGTGCTCCTCCATTATTTGGTTTCATAGGGATTCGGATACCTTCCTCATTGAAGTAGTAAAGTAAATTCGCTTAAGTGCTTTTTTCGGTTAAGTGCACAAGTTTTTCGTGCAAAGAAGGATGGGCAGCTAAGCAAAATATACTGTATATTGAAATAAATATTAAATTATTTGATCGCTATTCACAACCTTTTAAAATCCTTCTTCAGTCTTCTTTTAAGTAAAATTAATTGTTCTGATGGTAAAAAAGAGCTTTTCCGACATATGCTACTTTGGTTTTCCGTGAAAGGTAGACTTAAGTTGTTCTTTCAAATGTCCGCAGATATGTATGTATGTGTGTATGCAAGTACATAAATACATATGTATGTATGTAGCCACTACACATTATCCACTTACATGGCTTGCTTTTTATTGCTGCGTACTATAATTTAAATTTATTATTCTTATTTTTATGATCTATGCAAACTACTATTTTATGAATATTTACAGGGTTATCCGAATATGAGCTGTTCCGTAATCATAGGCTGCGGTTAATTTTTCACACAAAGAATACAATCCGTCATATTAAATCAAAACTTAAATTTGGCAGCAAAGGAATTTTTTCAGATGAGGTGCATTTTCACCATATTTGCTGTGTTCACATAGCCCTTACCAGCAACAACGTAAAAATTAGAATTACGCGATGATAAAATCTACTTTGTGCTTTACAGGTGTCAGAAGAGCAAATTCGATGCCAGATTTGTTGTGGGTGAGAGGCTCTGTCCCCACTCTGTGGTGATTGAGCTTAATGCCACAATCGCATAAATGTTTCGGTCATTTGCGTCCACGCTTTGGCAGGGGAGAATGGCATGAATGAATGAATGTCAGTATTCTACATTTTCAAACGAAGATAGTTAGGACATACTTAAAAATAGTCGTTAACTAATTATTAAGAAATGAGTTGAAGCGATTGTTGATAACTAGTCTGCAGCACTAAGTCCTAGCATAAAATAATTCATCAGGCTATATAGTAAAGGTTTAGCTGATGACATAATGAGTTATAAAACTGCATACCAAAAAAGTTTTCAAAAAATTCTGAATAACAATTTTAAATTTTGGTGAAAATTAGTTGATTTTTTTTATTTTTGTACAAAGTTGGATATGTAGATTTATATGGTGTTTGTTATATAGCTAGCTAGAATTTTACAAAAATATATTAAACATTAAATAAACCAAAGATTTATAACCAAAACTGCTCTACATAAGGTTAGTTTATTATTTCTGCCACCAGTATAAATATTAATTTCGCTACCGGATTTTCCACCAAAAAGTGTCCAATACTTATATATTTTTTAGTGTTTGGAATGTTTATAAAATGTTAGGACCTGCGACATTCTGAAAAAACACAACCAAATAAAAGTTAGGAACCATGACATAGGGTGCAATATCTGAATAGTTTCCTTTAAAGTTCGATTCCCCATACAGGATATGTCTGCTTATTGTATTTGCAACTTTTTGTGCGTTTGTTGACCAGCGATGACCAGGTAAACCCTCAAGAAAGCTTTAAAAAGCTTTGAACGCCGGCTATATTTTGGTCGTTTGGAAGTTAAGCGGATATTTCCCTGCAGAAAAAAATTATCAATTGATAAAAAATAACCCTCTTGTAGTTGGCATTTTTGCGGGATTTCTATAAAATATATTATTTGTAGTTGGCTACAAAAAGCTAACTTGAAACAAGTGGACAAGTAATGCAGGGGTAATGAAGGAGATTGTTTTCTTTAAATGCGTTTCTATTTAAATATCCTGCACTTCGTAAATACTTTTTCAAATTTAGGACAAATAAAAGGAAGATCGAAGTTTCATATTATCATTTTGAAGTTATGTCTGATGGAGTGGAATATGGGACCACCTGCAGCAGAATATGAAAACAAATATGAAATGTAATAAAATAAATAAAGTAAATAAAAATTAATATAAATAGTATATTTTTTTCCTATTGATATTATGTGTCCAAAAGTAGTTAATTACAAGTTAGTACATCAAATTCAGAGTTAACCACCCTTGACTAATTCGCGGCCATCGCCATAGAAATATAGTTAGCTTTCGTCAAAGAAAATATACAGATAATAAGTGACTTTTAGCTCATTCCTAATCAACTTAAAGTTAGCTTATAGTTAGATTCATTTCCTGCAGGGTTATTCTACACAGTGTAAATGTACTTACATACATATGTACATCTGAAATAGGGAAGAATGTCTACACTCGATCGATGAGCAAAAAACGCAGGGCTGCCGGTGAACCAGGAAGCACGGAAATCACACTTCATGAGTCTCTCATTAAGTCTCTCTTGGGGTACGCCGCAGAAGCGTAAATCTAATCTCATGACACGACTCTTGCAATGTTCGAGAGAAACATTCTGCGGAAGATGTACGGCCTTTACACGAAATCGGAGACAATAGAACATTGAGGTGTACGATCTTTATAACAGTAGAGACATAACAATACCGATATTACGTTGGTTAGGCCACGATCAACAAACGAATGCTCCATGCCCTACCGTTGAAAGTATTCAATGCAGTACACTTTAGTGATGATAGAGGAAGTCGAGTTTAGAATGGACTTTCCATTATTTCATTACTCACCCTTCGTTACGTAACGGTTGTCATTTCCCAGCACAAATTCCAAAAATACATATGCATGTAAAGAACTACTAGTAAGAAATAAGGCCCAGATTTTTATTGTTTTTTTTCAAACTTTTATTTTACTGCAATAAATTATCTTCATTGGGTTTTTACAGGAATAATTATTGTGAAGATTTTCAATAAAACACTACTTATTATCACAGTATTAAAAACAAATAAATATATGCTAAATATTACTAACTTACTGTTAGTTACTAAGTGCCTAATACCTACGGACATATGAAGTTTACATACATATATATATATATATATACATATGTGCATACATTAATATATATATATTAGTAAACTTTAAACGTAACTTGACTATAGTGGTTTTCATTTAACTTATAGTTAACATAGTGTCACGTAAGATTATAGTGGTCGTCATGCTTATGTATTTACATACCCTGTTCATTCCTGGAAAATAATATATTTTTTTTTTTTTTTTTTAATATAAAGGTTGCATGTATTTACGTTTCACTTAATTTAGTATAAGTTTTTATGATTTTAGTTGTTTCTTTTTTTATGCCTAAATTACCCACTAACGCACTCACAACACTGGCTGGTAATGTAGGTGCTTACATAAATACATATAACTCAATTTTTTTTAATACTATTTACCCTTTTCACTAAATTTTCACATGCGTACATACATATGTACATATGTACATTATGTAAATGAACATACAACATAGATTCATAAACTTATTTCAATAAACTTGCACACAAGGGTAACTTCAGATTGTATTTAAAAAAAGGAATTTAGTTGTTAATAAAATATTCAATTAAGGAATGCACATAAATTTTTATTTTTTTTTGTATCAAAATGAGACCTTCTTAAGCTCAAAATACATATGTACATACATATGTATATATTTGGACTACAAACAAACCCATACCTGCAGGGAGATTTTTTTATTTTCAATTTTCGCTTTTGTAAATTTTACTTTGATTGCCTAATTAAACACTTAATAGTTATATTCTTACTTTGTTTCATTTGCTCTATTTGAAGGGGTGTTTTAGTGCATCATCATCATGTAGGGCGATTCACTGCCATTGTCACCGGTCGGACTGTCCATTGAGGGGTTGATACGTTTCTCCTTCTGTCGTCGGTTGCAAAACCAAACGCGTACCACTTCTTTCTCCATGCATAGACGATCGGCCAGTTTGCTGATTTCTTCACTTGTCGGCTTCTGATTCATCATGAAGGCTTTCTCCAGCGCTCCCCGTATTGAGGTTTCAATAGACGTACGCTTTTTTCGCCGCCGACCCATAACTTCCGGTGTACTCACTGTTTGCAGGGCAGCAGGATCGAAAACTCTGTAGATTACAAATTAAAGATAGTAGCATTCATAAATCCAAAAAGTGTTCCATTTGGGTTATGGAAATAGTAAAGCGGTATTTAAATAGCCCTGCCATGGTAATGGTATTGGCAATGATGATGGTAATGGAGAGAGGGTCAGTTCTTTCAACAACCACCGATATGAGTAGAAATATTCTAAAAACTTGAAGTTAATATGACTTTTCCTTTTGAAAGCTAAAGGCCGTATACTTACTAAGTAGATTCAGCTGTAGAGCGCTCTAAATAGCGTTTTCCAGAAACCATGTATAGAACATGGGCTGAGTAAGCTGAGTTTTTCCGAAACTACGAAAAACTAGTTTCCAATTATTCTCAAGCTTTAATCACGCACGAACCGGTTACCCCATCGTACCTGAGTTTTAGCGTTGTCAGTATCTTACTTCGTTTTCAAATAGAAAATATCCGTAGAGTAGCAACAATTAAATACATACTTACAATTTTTTTGGATCCTATTGCCTTCAGTGCTGCCTGACTGTCGACAAAAATGCTGGATTTTTCTGCTGGAACTCCACTAATAAGTAAAAGACTAGCCGCCTTCTCTATAGCCTAGAGTATAGATTAGGCTGATCCAATTCTGTGTTTGCTCGAAGGACCTGCATATCAACCGGTCCTTTCCTTCCATCCTCCGAACGACTGCAGTGTCTTTCAAGTCAGATCTTTGCTATAGAGAGGGCGGCCTATATTTTACTTAGTAGTAGAGTTCCAGAAGAAAAAGTCACTATTTTTGTAGACAGTCAGGCAGCACTGAAGGCTAAAATAGTGAAATCGGCTGGCATCATCACTGAGCCGTATCAACGTCACCCTATGCTGGGTACCAAGACATAGCAATATTGAATGGGATGAGTCGGCTGATGAGATATCCAGATGCGGCTCAGAGATGCCAACAGAACTAGCAAATATCTTCGTCTTACTACCTTTTAGTGATCACGTTTGAAAAATTTATGAATATACCGTGGCCGCGACTGATGACTTGTGAAACAAACGGGAAGACTGGGAGATCAAAAGATTATTATGGCCGCGGCTAAGTAGGAGAAAGACAAGGCACATACTGAAACTCAATAAATCTGCGGTAAGAGCTGTTACCGGCGTTATCACAGGACCACTGGGCTATATCACCAACACTTCAACGGTGGCGAATACAAACAAGTACTCTCTGCAGAGGCTGCCATGATGAGGATGAGAAAGCGTCAATTGACTTTCCGTGTCGATGTCTAGGTCTACAGACAAAGCGCCTCAAGAACTTCGGTTCGCACTTGTTCAACTGTCTGGGCGAGATAGCGGAGGTGCTACTGTTGGATCCCTTCGGCATCATTAGGGATAGTTCTTGTTTCCATTGAATAATGGCTTGAAGCTACTATTTCGATTATAGGTACGTGTCTCCTTCTGACACTCACTTAATGAGGGCACTCACAATGGACAATTCTGTATCCGAGTGAAAGTATGGGGTATTCCACACACGCCCTCCTAACCTAACCCAACCTGCAGTAGCGGTACTGTATATTAACTAATAGACAAACTGCTATCACACCCCTAAGCAAGGCCCGAAAATTCGCCATTAAACCAGAATATGAACACAGATTATTATTATTATTATTATTGTTAGGGCATATATAGCCCTGCGACCTACATAGCTAGATCTATTGTGCTAACCCTTATCGAGTCACTCCAACCTTAGGCTGTTAATGAAATTAAGCACTTTTGAGGGTGTCGTGTTCCAGATACTGAATGGAGACGATATTCGCTCTCCAAGGTGTATAAGTCTGAATCGAGTTATACGCGGACAATCACATAGTATATCATCATCGGATCATCCTCTAGCCCACAAAACCTGCAGTTCGTCTCCTCAGAGAGTCCCATCTTGTGCAAATGGCACCTCAGTCTGCAGTGTCCTGTCAGGTATCCGGTGAGAGTTCTTAAACCCTCTCTGCTAAGATTTAGCAGCCGTTCGGAGATTCCTCGAGAGGGAGTTATGAATCTTTTGGACTGCCGATTACCCTTTGTCGAGCGCCATTGGGTTGTAACTTGGAAGTCCTTCCATCCCCTTAGGAGCTCTGACCTCTAGACCTTGAGGACAGCCACGAGTGGCCGTTACCTTTTGCCTACTACCTTCTAGTTCGACTATTATGGTTCTGGACTTCAGTGTACTTATGACCCAGTCGGTTATGAGTTTAGGAATGTCCTTCCTTGTCATACTCGGTATATCGAGAAATGCACACAGGGAAATCTGTTTATACTCCATTGCCTTTTCAATAGCTTGGGTTAGGCCATGTATTACAGTAGTGGTAGATTTCCCTGTTTGATAGGCATGTTTCACAAAGTGGTTTAACCTTGAGGTAGGTTTCCCTGATATGAAAATCAATTAGTTTTTCTAAGGTTTTGATCAGAAAAGAGCTTAGGCTTATGGGTCTATACGCCTTTGGGAGATGATCTTGTGTCTTCCCCGCTTTGGGTATGAATATGACCTTTACCTCCTTCCATGATGTCGGAATGTAAGCAAGAAGTAGGCTTGCTCTCAGAAGTCTGAGTATGGTACCGGATATGGACCCAAGGCCCTGCTGCAGCAGGAATGGATAAATACCGTCCAGACCAGGAGATTTATGCATTAAACGTTGAAATAGCCCACTGCAACCTTTCACTGTTGACAATTCTGTCCGCTAGGCCTCTTGCCATTTTGTTCACACGCACTGCGTTAACGGTGTCCACGTTAGTACTTGGGCCTTTTGTGATGCAGCGGGAAGTGGGTCTCCAATAGAAGCCTGCTTGTTTCCTCAGGTGTAACAGTGTAGGTTCCGTCGGGTTTTTTCAAAGTGCATAGCCCGTTCAAATTATCCAATTTAAGGGCCTTCTGTAGGCGCCGAGCCGCCGGCAGGAAAGATATTCCCCCCGCAGTACTCACGCCATGTGTCCCTTTTGGATCTTCTGAGATCTATTATCAATTATGTAATGAAAAAAGATACTTCAGTTTCGAGGCGATCAACGAACGAAATATTGGCCTACTTAGAAATGCTGTCCTTATTTGACGTTATTATCTGGTTAAACCAGACTACGTCAGTTGAAATCAATGAACTAACTTAGGAAAAGTTTTTATAATGATTTAATTTACTTACCCTCCGGTCGCCTGTATCGTACGATCTGCGTCTTCCAGCCATTTCTGTAGCAGCGGCTTCAGCTTACACATATTCTTAAAGCTCAGATTCAATGCTTCAAAACGCGATATCGTCGTCTGCGAGAAATCATTTCCGTACAATTTGCCCATGGCTAAGCCAACATCGCCTTGCGTGAAGCCCAACTTTATGCGTCGTTGCTTGAATGTCTTGGCGAACTGCTCCAGCTCCTCAAGATCGGTAGTCTCTTCCGGCGACGGTTCACCGCCTAAACGCTGAGCCGCACCAGCAGCATGTTTTAGCATTTGGGGAGTTTGTGGGGCTCCACTGATAGTGTTCGGTGTAAGTATCCCGCTGACCTTGAGGCTAGTGCCTGGATTGGGCGGCGTTATTTGACTGTGGGTGCTGGTATTGAAATTCGTGTGGAGTGGCAACGGCGATGATGCCGGACTATGTAAGGGCGTGTGAGTGGGCGTAGAAGTGTGCATACTGCGAGATTTCGGCGTTTCTTCTAATGGTTGCTGTTGTGATGCATGGAGATGCGGCTGTTTTTGCAGCTCCTGCTGCTTCTGCAGTGATTGTAACTGTTGCGTGGCTTGTGTGAGCGCTTGAATGCGACTGTGAAATAGGAACTGTGCTGCGGCGACTTGAGTGGCCATGCTTGGATCATCGGGCGGTATCCCTAACGCACCGCTGCGCAATATATCGATATAATTTTGGAACTGCTGATGCAAAGCGGTCTGCTGTTGTTGCAACGCTTGCTGGAACTGCGTGAAGTCTTGCGGGGAAATCGATGTGCTGAGCGGGAGGGAAAATAGCGGACTACCTAGGCTCAGGCTTGCGCTCGCCGCCGCAGCCAATTGGGCCTGTTGTGTTGAGAAGTTTGGCATGGGATATGTGTTGTTAGAGAGGGGCACAGCCGCAGAATCACCGGTTGTTATTGCTGGTGACGTACGACTGGCGCGCAACGACTTCAAAGACGGCGATGGCGATTGTAAGCTTTGTCGAGAACTTTCACTGGTCAAATTGAGCGCACCTGACTCTATGTCTCTCATAGGCTCAACATCTTGTGCGGCGGAGAATTTTCCCTCCTGCGCATTGTCAGAGCGGTGCAAAACATCCAACAAGTGAGACTTGAGAGTGGGCAGTTGATGATGTTGTTGGTGTTCTTCGTGTGGCGTGGCAAATGCTGTCGGACTTTGGGGGGACAAACAACGATCGCTTGAATTCCCTGTCGCCGAATTATTATCCCCACAATCAGAGGCTGAAAGATGAAAAGGAGAAATAAGGTAATGGTTAAATTTATGCATTACCGGTGTTTTTAAAGACGAAAAACTTTTACAAATAAATACAAAATGCAAATATGAATGAAAATGAAAATGGAAATGGAAATTTTCGTTCGAATACTTGAAAACCCTTTCAGTTCGCACGTGCCCCTTTGATGTGAACTCAATCGATATGTTTACTTATGCTGAGCACATACACTTCTTTCTCGGGCTTTGGTTACTTTATAAATGACCACTTTGTGTTAGTTTAACGCTTCATAAAAATTCAACTTAACTATGCAAAATTTTCTGCAAAGCCCAAGCAGCGCACATGTGAGCATCTAGTATTTATATGTATAAAGGTGTAGATGTATGTTTATATGTACATACATCCATAGCCATTTGTTGCAGCCCAACCCAGCCCACGCAAGGGACAAGTGGTTGAAACGTCAATGCTTACACCTTTTGCATAATTTTAGCATAAGCAAACACAATTTCTCAATTTCCCTATGCGAAATGAGGAGTAAAACGGAAAAGGAAACTCGCAGTACTTTTTTTGCAAAATTTTAAATGTGGTCAATTTCATAGTCCGTTGAATTTTCAGTTTTCCCTCCCCTATTCTATGCGCTCATTCAAATGTGTAGTAAGTGAAAATCTTTCACAAGTAGCCACATTCAATCCAGCTGAGCTCACAATTGCCAGTTGTTTTGTAAAAGTGTTCATGTTTTCCAATTTGGCTCTGAGATGTATGGTAGAATATTGGAACCGATTCAAAAGCGAAACTATGAATGTTTTCTTTTCATTTCACAGTTCAGTTGCATGAATGCTCGAACTGCAAATATCAAACAAATATTTTCTAATATCAAGTAGAATTTGAAATAAACGGAAGATACGCCCAATTTGTATAAATTTACTTGATAAATATGCAGATGCAGCCTCATCCTCAAGTTTATGTTTCAATAATTTCACTTACACATACATATATATGTACATACATTCATACAGACATTACTAAATATCCTAATCCAAATATACAAGAGTTTTAGTTGAAGTTTCTTGTTGGGAACAAACGTATCTTAAAAGAAGTTAGTTTAAAGAACGGTTCGGAATATAAAGGAAACTACTGATTAAGTAAATGGGCAGCAAAATATGTAGGTACCTATCTACTATTACATTCATAAACAATTTTTTGGAGTAAAATGTCAAACAAGAATACTGATTTAACTATGACTTGATTGAGGAAGTCTCAGACCTTTTACATATGTATATAAGGGTGTTTCAGTACAAAAACCGCAACTAGTATTTTTGTGAGTATATTTTAAAAGCTGTTAAGCGAAATCATAGGTGTTTATAACTAATAATAATAATAGATTGGCGCTAACAAAATGTGCAATTACTTGGACGAGCTTCTCAATCGATTTGTAGCGTGCGCCAGATTTTTTGGAATTTTCTTGAGTATGCAGTTTTGTAGCCCATTAAATTCTAGTTTAAAAATGTACGTTTCGCGTTGATTTTTGAGAATTTTTTTGTTGAAGGTGTTTTGCATATTTTCCATACAAAGTATTTTCGAAATATTTTTTTTGTATTGAAAAAGCTGCGTGGAAAAAAAATGTCAAAAATCAACGGTCGTAGCTAGTACTTCAAACTTGCACTTTGGTATAATAAAATTTATTGGGCAACAAATCTGCATACTCAAAAAAATTCTAAAAAATCTGATTAAAAGTTTGAAAACTTGCATGAAAATTTATTGAACTTTTGCAAATGTTGCACAAAGTTCAGAAATTATATTTTTATGTTGTTTGTTGTTGAATGAGCCATATTTTTATAAGAAAATAGCGGAAAATTTTTTGAAAAGAAATTGTGGCCTAATAATAATAGATTGGCACTTACACAATCCTCCGATTTGTGGCGTGCGCCTTGATGTTGTTACACGAAGGGGAGGGACCTACAGTTTTACACCGACTCCGAACGGCGATTATATATTTATGAGAGCCGATTTCTGCCAAACTCGCTCAATTTTACTGAATCGTCGGAACTTTTGGAAATCGGTAAAAAACCACAGCCTTTCTTACCAAGTAGTTTAAAGAAAGTTGAAAAATGATATTTAATAGTTGTGCCGGGTATATACAGTTTGGTTTTGCCCGAACTTATACTTCCTTACATGTTTTGTTTTCAAATAAGTTAGCATTTAATGGTGCAGACGGGGCATTGAATTGCTATAAAATCGTTAAAAAATTAGATATTTTTCGGCCGAATATGAATATTTCCCTACTGAAATATTGAAAACATTAAATTATTACATATTTTTCGTTATTATTCCTTGCACATTATCGATATCGGCAAGAATACTTAAATCAAACTTCAGATACCTAAATCGATATAATTTTCTTTATATGTGTAGTTATCGGCATATTAAAATTTTCGAGAATCACTTGGCATAGCTTTCCTTTCAGTAAAAGTCTGATTTCTGTTAAGCTTTTTAACCCGACGACGGTCAAGGTAATATATATATTAGACTGCACCACCAATAAAAAGTTGCAGTTTTTCCGCCGGGACTACAAAATTTATTATATTTTAAGACGACCACCGTAATATTTGGGAAAAATATTTAGATTTGAAAATACCTCCAAAATGGATTTTTTTTATGAATAAAAATAGTTTCTTAAAGAACTTTTTGAAAAAAGTTTCCTCAGATGACAAAACAGATTAGGCTTAAAAAATCTGCATAAAAATATTTAAAAATCTTTTCAACAGAATCGTAACAATGAGATTTTTGATGCTGCTTTTTACTATTTTCAAAGATTAATTTACGAAAAACTTTAATAACTGGGCCAATATTATTCTGATTTAGACTTATGGGATCTCGGTAGAAAACCATTTTCCCACTTTTTTTTATTTATGTGAAAAAAAGTCGTTCGTGTCCCATTTTTTTTTTTCAAATACCAACACATCTTAGTTCAACTTTGAATGACGTCCGTTCCTCCTAGAAGAGTTTAGGTTCAGTTATTCAAGTTTTTCTTATACCAATCTTTGAAAAAAGTTAAAAAAACAGCATCAAAAATTTCATTATAAAGCCAGTTTCTTTAAATTTAAAATGACGTTAAGATGAAGTCTCTACGATGGGTAGAACCCGAGATATAATGATTTGAAGGAGTACATGATTGGTCAGAATCACGAAAAAATGCAAACTTTGACAGATCATATGTATCTCCAAAGAAAAAAGCGAAAAAAATTACTCGAGCACGTGTTACCTTATTCTATGTACATATAGCACCCATAAAAAAAAATTTTAAGCCAATCGAAAGTGTGACACCAAATTTGTTGTCCGATATGAAAAAGAATGTCTTATTTTAAGTATATGTCCTGGAATTGTAGAACTCACTTAAAAATACTACTTTCTCTGCTAATTATATTATGTTCTTTAGTCTTAAGTAATTTTTGCTGTTTTAGTTATATGTATGTACTGTTATGAATTTTTTGTTGCGCTGTAAAAGATCTTTCTTTTGATCTTTTTGTGCTAATGATTTTATTAATAAATGAAATGAAAATATTAGGGATGGAATTATCCGTATAATCTGATATCTGTAAATCCATTCGAATATGCGTATATATGGATATCCGGTTAGTAACCGTTCATTTTGTTATCCGGATGTCCGGCTAGTATTCGTTCATTTAGTTATGCGGGTATTCTAAACTGAGTTTGAACGTATTTGTTAAATTGTTCCCAAAAAGTTGCAAAATAAATAATAGAACAGATCACAGTGGTCTTGAAACAATGATAGGTATGACTAAAATGCCAACCAAAACTGCTTGCATACCTGTTTTGGAAGGCACCCATACACCATTATGCAGTTGGAATTAAAATCATATCTGCTCCTATGCCTAAAATATTGTCAAATGAAAATTTGGAAAAAATTTAACTGCAATTGTTAGTATTTCTTGTTCAACAGAGTATTCTAAAGTTATCGTTTTGTATATTAGTGTAAAAAAAAAACAGATAGTATTTTTCTCGATGATAATATTTCTGGTGTAAGCTATTTGATTGCACATCATGTCTTCTATAAGTCATCCGCAACATAAGTGTAATCACGAAGAGAACAGATTTAAAGTGTGCGCGCCTTGTGGGAGAAAGATTAAATTCGGATCGTCAAAACCTTCAGAATTTAATATAACCGGAAAATTGGAGTGTCTTATTAAAAAATACGTTAGTGAAAATTTTAGATTGACCAATTCGAAGTTCCCATTAGGCATTTGTGGTACATGTCGTAGGGTTCTCTGTGACCGAGATAAGGATATACCAAATGCAACGCGGCCTCTTCCAAACATGCCTAACTATGAAGATTCGACAAAAGAAACAAGAACAACTTCATGCTCTTGTTATATCTGGCTCACTGCTCGGGCAACCAGCCATCCAAAAGTTATACAAGGGAGAGCACATACCTTAAATGTATTGAGTGAAAAAAACTCCACCAATGGGTTGACTGCTTTGTCAGTTGGGTCAGAATTAAAAAATCATGTAAGTAAACTCGCTAAAGCCTTCCGAAGCACAGAAATGTCGGAAACATTAAAAATTCACGTGCTTCTAAATCATTTGGAACATTGTCTGCATTTTTTAGGCAACGACAGCTTCGGAATGTGGTCGGAGCAAGCTGAAGAATCCATTCATGGCGTATTTTTAAGATTTTGGCTCAATTATAAAGTTAATTCGATTGACGACCCTAAATATATAATCAATTAAAAAAAAAACTGTCGTTGAATTTTCATCAAAACACATATGAATTTATATAAAATAATATTTTATATTGACTTTGTAAATTTATAAAATTTATGCAATAAGAATTATTAAAATATGCAATTATGTAATATTATCTCTTGAATAACTAAGTTAAAATATTTTATGCTTATATAAGAAAGTGTTATAATTATATTACCATAGACCTTCGCGATTATATAACTGGATTTGGAAAGTTCTAGATCAACATTTTATAATATTTTAAGC